CACAAACAAACACACACACAGGTGAATCGCTATATGCCACCGCATCGCAGATGCTGCGGTGGCATAATAAACAAAGGGGAATAATTCAAGAATCAGGCAAGGCAGAGTAATGGTTCTTGTGCACTGCACACCTACTCAATGAGATCTATCTACCTACAAAGTTTCATGTTGATACCTCTTATACTTTTAGAGTTATGTCCAGGACAAAGTTCAAAGTGTAAAATAAACAAAGGGGGATAATTCAAAAATAAGGCAAGGCAGAGTTACGGTTTTCGTGCACTGCACACCTACTCAATGAGATCTATCTACCTACAAAGTTTCATGTTGATACCTCTTATACTTTTAGAGTTATGTCCCGGACAAAGTTCAAAGTGTAAAAATAAACAAAGGGGAATAATTCAAAAGTTAGGCAAGGCAGAGTTACGGTTCTTGTGCACTGCACACCTACTCAATGAGATCTATCTACCTACAAAGTTTCATGTTGATACCTCTTGTTGTTACAAAGTTATGTCCCGGACAAGAAAAGGGGACGGACGGACGGAAAGACGGACGGACGGACAAGGCGGCGACTATATGCTCCCCCGAAATTTTTTCGGGGAGCATAAAAATTGTTCAAAGAATTAAATTATAAGCAGAATTCTGGTTGTCATGGCAACAAGGAAACAAGAGCCACCGCCAGACGGGGGCAACGCTCGACTTTTAATTTTCTCTAAAAGCAAACAAAGGAATGTTTGAACAAAATCTTTGAATATACTAATTTATATATATATATATATATATAAACAGAAACACGCAATTCTATAAATAGAAACACGCACATATGTGGTGTTGACATGTGGTTGTGACATGTGGTATCACATGGTGGTGTCACATTGTGTCATGTGTGGTGATACGTGGTGGTGATCTGGCTGGTGCATGTGGTGTCACGTGGTGGTGACATGTGAAGTCGATGGTGGTGACACTGGTGTCACATGGTGGTGTCATGTTGTGGTGACATGTGGTGTGGTCATGTGGTGTCATGTTGTGGTGACATGTGGAGTCACATGGTGGTGTCATGTTATGGTGACATGTGGTGGAGTCATGTGGTGGATTGTGTGGAGTCACGTGGTGGAGTCATGTGGTGGTGTCACAAGGTGGTGACATGTGGTGAAGTCATGTGCTGGTGGTGTCAAGTGCTGGTGGTGTCACATGGTGGTGACAAGGTGGTCTTAAGTATGTTTTGTTATAATATAAGTTGATCCCTTCAATAATAGCAAAGTTACAGACAGTTACAGCAAAAACAATCAAGGTCATTAATGAGTGAAGGTCAAGGTCTGTCTGATTATTTTTAAGTGTTATCCTAGAAGATTATTATGTTCAAGTTTGAAGACAATCCATTCAAAAATAACAATGTTGCAGCCAATAATAGCCAAAAATATTAAAATTCAATAATTTGACCTTCAAAGTCAAGGTCATTTATGAGTGAAGGTCAAGGTCTGGCTGGTTATTTTTAAGGGATATCCTTGAAGATTATTAGGTTCAAGTTTGAAGACAATCCATTCAAAAATAACAAAGTTACAGTCAATAACAGCATGAACAAGCAAAATTTGGACTTTTAACCTTGAAGGTCAAAGTCATTTATGGATGAAGGTCAAGGTTAGTGTGGTCTACTGAAAGGTCTTGTCCCAAGGGTTGTTGTGGCCAAGTATGAAGACAATACACCAAGAAATAAGACTAGTATAGCAATACCTCTCCTTTTTTTTCAAAAAAAAAAAGTCAAGGTAAAAACTGCTCTTTAAAAATTGAATTTAGATATAGATATGTTTTTTTTTTTTTTTAATTATTTTGCTAGGGCAATTAATGCACCATTATTTTTAAGTATTTAAACCTGTTAGTCAATCAATCAATCAATGATGATATTTTCAAATGTAATGGCAATATTTTTACTCCTGAAGTTTTGTCAATTAAAGTAACTCGCCGGTATTACACTTCCTATGTTGTCATCTGTCACAAGCATCACAAGTGACTGCCTCCTGCCGTTTCCTCACAACACTTCCACAGTCTATACAATAATCAGTCATTTCAATAACCAACAAATAACTTAAGGGCCGATTTGACTAGTTTTGATGCCCATTCTGCTAGTTTTGGGGCCAATTTGACAAGTTTTGGAGTCGATTTGACTAGTTTTGGGGCCGATTTGACTTTTAATAATTGTTGTTTGGCTGATTTGACTAATTTTGAGGCCGATTCAACTGATTTTGAGCTGATTTGACTTGGGGCCGATCTGACTTTGGGCGGATTTAACTAGTTTGCATGAGATTAGATACAATGTAGTATAGTACTCCCCTCAGGTACCGCGTCCTTGCCCATTCCGATGTAATTAGAAAATTTGTTTCTTTACACATTGAATGCCACCAAATACTGTTTCCATCTAATTAATTCATTAAAGTGAAAGTGGAAGTGCTGATTTTTGTGAATTTGGATAGAATTTTTTTCATTTCAAATAAATTCTGTCATTGATAGGAAAATCCAAAGCTGCCGGTGTGTGTTAAAAATACTTCTTTATTTTACCCCATATTTAACATTTAAACTTATAATTTCATGTTCCGACAAGTGAAGGTCGTCTGCTGAAACTGTAGTGACATCATATTCTGTTACAAAAAATTATACTGAATTAAAAAAGGGCCATCAATTAACATAAAACGGTACCATAGTGATATCCATTTAAGCTCCCATTCAAAACATGGCTGACTGAATATATATGTTTCTAATTTAAATTTTGGAGTTATTTCTATCAATGACATGTGTATTTTAATGTCAAGATGCGACAACAAAACACAATTCAATAAAATAGTAAATACAAGTTCTTTTTATTTGCACAATTTGCTGGAAATAATAAGAACAGTGGTACCATAGGGGACCATCCTATGTATCCTGTTTTCTCGTACTATAGTGGGGCTACGGCCTAAACTTGGTTGGATAATTTTTATTAAAAATTTTTGGTACAGTATTTTTTAGTCTGATACACAGAAAAATGCCCTTTTAAGACAATATAAATGAAGAAAGATCGTAACCGAAAGCAAAACTTAAGTTATTTCCGCTTGTATATGCTGACCTTCACCCTTTATGTGAAGCAGGTGCTTTCTCATATTATCGTGGAATTTGATTGGTTGTTAAGGCTGGTCGCTCTGTGATGATTTTATTCTACACACCAGTTCAAATCATTAGTGCAACTCCCTAATTAAGTGTTAAATAGCTTAGCTTTTGTAATTTTTTGTGTTTTTTAATAAAAGCTTGGTAGGCCATAATCAAACTTTTAGGATCATATTGACGCCTTTTTGGTACCACATGATTTGGTTTGTTCTAAAAATAGTTTGAACTCAATTATGTGTTGTTGTTTACATTATCCCTCTAAAATATTTTATGTTTATGTTTACTTATTAGTTATATTAGCATTTAGCAATGAATACTACAGTTTTTCATTGTACTGTAGTCATATGTTTTATTGTTTTGTTGTCAAAACTAAAAATTGATATTAAGGATAAATATGTTTCATCATATGGTTTTTAATTGGAGTTCATATGATTTGTATATTATCTATTTGTGGAACAAATGCTTTGAGCTGTATTGTAAAATATAGTAGTGTGAAACCGTCATTTAAAGCGCCTTGTGTTAGAGACCTGATACAGGTTTCTGCAACATGGAAAAACTAAACAAGAGGGCCATGATGGCCCTGAGGTCGCTCACCTGTATATAGCCCCCCCCCCCCCCCCCCCCCCGGCCCAATTTTTACCCCAAGGGCTTTTATTTGTTTATTTGAACAGACTTGGTAGACACCCATAAGAAGATGTTTCATGCAAAACATCTAAGTTCTAGCTCATTGGGTTTTTTAAAAGAAGATTTTTTAAGTTTTTACTATACACATAGAGTAAAAAACAATGACACCCCTCGGGCAGGGCCAGTTTTGACCCCTGGGCTTTTATTTGAACAAACTTTGTAGATATTTACTTAAAGATGTTTCATGCTTAATATCTAAACTCTAGTTATTTGGGTTTTTTCAAAGAAGATTTTTAAGTTTTTGCTATGTATATAAGGAAAATCAATGACCCCCGGGGCGGGGCCAGTTTTAACCCCAGGGCTTTTATTTGAACATACTTGGTAGACACCCATTAGAACATGTCTCATGCTAAATATCTTAGCTCTAACTCTTTTGGTTCTTTAAAAGAAGATTTTATAAGTTTTTACTATATGCATATAGGGAAAATCAATGACCCCCTGGGGCGGGGCCAATTTTGACCCCAGGGCTTTTATTTGAACAAACTTGGTAGACATTTACTAGAAGATGTTTTATGCCAAATATCTAAGCTCTAGCTCTTACGGTTCTTTAAAAGAAGATTTTTTAAGTTTAAACTATATGCATATAGGAAAATCAATTACCCCCAGGGCGGGGCCAATTTTGACCCCAGGGCTTTTATTTGAACAAACTTGGTAGACATTCACTAGAAGATGTTTCATGCCAAATATCTAAGCTCTAGCTCTTTGGGTTCTTTAAAAAGAAGATTTTTTAAGTTTTTACTTTATGCATATAGGGAAATCAATGACCCCCTGGGGCGGGGCCAATTTTGACCCAGGGCTTTATTTGAACAAACTTGGTAGACACTCACTAGAAGATGTTTCATGCAAATATCTAAGCTCTAGCTCTTACAGTTCTTTAAAGGAAGATTTTTTAAGTGTTTACTATATGCATATAGGGAAAATCAATGACCCCCCGGGGCGGGGCCAATTTTGACCCCAGGGCTTTTATTTGAACAAACTTGGTAGACACTCACTAGAAGATGTTCCATGCCAAAAATCTTAGCTCTAGCTCTTACAGTTCTTTAAAAGAAGATCTTTTAAGTTTTTACTATATGCATATAGGGAAAATCAATGACCCCCCGGGGGCGGGGCCAATTTTGACCCCAGGGCTTTTATTTGAACAAACTTGGTAGACACTCATTAGAAGATGTTTCATGCCAAATATCTAAGCTCTAGCTCTTAGGGTTGTTTAAAAGAAGATATTTAAAGATTTTTCTTTCGGTTGCCATGGCAACCAGAGTTCTGCATGGAATTAAATTCTTTGAACAATTTTAAAAGGTGACCACCAAAGGAACATTCCTGTGAAGTTTGGATGAAATTGGCTCAGTGGTTTATGAGGAGATGTCATTTAAAGCAAAAGTTTACGGACGGACGACGGACGGACGACGGACGGACGGACGCCGGACGAAAAGCGATCACAAAAGCTCACCCTGTCACTTTGTGACAGGTGAGCTAAAAATTGATGATCTTGGAGAAAAAACTGATTTATTTAATGTTTTCCTCTTGACTTTGCAATAATTTCCACAGTTATTTTGTTTTTTATCTGTTTTTGTCTCATTTCTTTAGTTATTTTTGCCAGAGACAAAACAGCTCTGCTAAATAGACATGTTTTCGGATATCGACAGAAGTCGCGAGTGTCGCTTCCATCTGTTTTAATAATTCCACGAAAATATGAGAAACCACGATAATACGAGAAACAGGGATACTATCAATAATATAATAGTATACCTGATCTGCAGATATCTCTTATTTTTCATTTATAATACATTAGATGGTCTTGATAACATGCAAGTAATCAGAAAAAAATTAATGTTTTTTTTTTTCAGTTGGCCAAGTTGACCCGTGCCGAGCTGGTATAGGGCCGAGTTGTCTCAACCCGGTAGATCTAGTCAAGAGGGGGCTCTGTAGGCTACGTCAACCCATTTATATCAAAGTGAATTACGGTTACACTACCATACCTTACCACACAACTAAGAAAAAATCGATCTTTTTAAAAGAATAAAATGGGGAGAAACTGTCTGCAAAATATCGCACAAATACAGACAGTTCTCTACAGTGCCAGTGGGGACACAGGCACTAGACACAATTATTTTACCCATATACCAGGGTCTATTCTAGGATTCGAAAAATAGGGGGGATTTTTATCGAAAAGTCAGAATTGATTATATTTGTTGATCTTTTGGCGCGATAGCTCAGTTGGTTAAACCACTGATTATCACTCCTGAGGTCCCGGGTTTGATCCTGGGTTACACCCTTGGGATTTTTCAGAGACACTTTCAGTGTTTCCCACCTACCTAGAGGTGTACTGGTAAGAAATCCAGGTAATCCTCGCATGTATCAGTGCTATACACTGGGCATGTAAAAGGCCTGCAAGACAGGGCGGACCGTGAGACTAGGCGGACCATATATTGGGACAGGGCGGACCGTCACTCGAGACGAGGCGGACCGTAATTTAAAAAAGTATTTATATGTGGACTAATGTAATAAAAGTATTAAATTATTGATGTTTTTGTTCTTCGTTTTAATATTTCAATGCATATATAAAAGTAAAAATATAAAATAAATTTTAAAAGTTCATGTGTAATTGAATATTAATTTGCTGAATGGACGATGTCACTCGAGACGAAAGTATTTAATTGTGGATGATTTTGGTATTCTTTATAATATTTCAATCTAAACCTTTCTATGTAACATATGAAACATATATATACTGAACCAAAAAAATGGAAACTTTCGCAAAGTATCATGTGCCAGTTGTCAAGGGTACCACATAGATGTACACACTTGTATATATGTAGTAGCTCGTAAAACTCGTTTTGTTTGCAAAATCGGTCAGCTAATCCCGTATAAAAGCCCGAAATGTTTATTCAACGTAAAAATCGAGTTTCAAAAGGATTGAAAAACTGTACTAACATATCTACATTCAAACTTGGAGAAAGTTTCTTTTTTGTTTCAGTATATTAGAGTAGTTTAAAAAAAATTTCTCAAGAAATTATTTGTAACTGCGTCGACTTACGCAAGTGATAATTGACCAATTATCGGGATATAACAATGTTATTGTTTGTATAAGGCGCTAACGCTGCTAAAATTGATAAACTTTATTAAACAATTACTGAATTAGACACATAAAAAAACATATTTTGTTGTACAATACACGAAATAACAATGATGGCGAATAACATCACATTAAAATTATTTGCAATTCAACACAATAACAAAAAAAATGAAGTGACATATTTGAAAAACAAAACTATCTTATTAAAATTTACATAATAAGCACAGACACATGAAATAAAATGAACACTGAAATATAATTTATTAAACAATAAGACACATCAAAGAACTTTTAAAACTTACTGTATTTTATATTTTTAATTGAATATTTGAATTGAAATATCAATACGAAGAACAAAAACATCAATAATTACATTAGTCCACATATAAATACTTTTTTAAATCACGGTCCGCCTTGTCTCGAGTGACGGTCCGCCCTGTCCAAAAATACGGTCCGCCTAGTCTCGAGTCACGGTCCGCCCTGGTACGGTCCGCCCTGTCTCACGGTCCGCCCTGTCCGTAATTCATGTAAAAGAACCAAGGGGTCTATTCAATAAGAGCTAGGGACTGGTTCCCGGATTCCCTTGTATCTTAAAGCTGTTTCTTAAATGTATACAATGTATACCTGCTTAGAGTGATCGAAAACGATTTTAAAGCAGTATAATGTAGAAAAAAAAAAAAAAATTTCCCTTCTTTCTCTATGTAAAATTTTCCCCCTGCCTCTGAAAAAATAGGAGTGAATTCTCAAAAATAGGGGTGAATCCCCCCTCCTAGAATAAACACTGATATACGCTCATTAATACATTATACTATATATAAAGAATATTCTTTATATAAAGTATTATGAGCGTATATGGGTAAAACAGGCCTCGACATTAGCGGTGGTCCATTGGTCCGAGACCACCTGATTTTGGCAATGACCACCTAATTTTACAGGCAACTGGTCCATTAGACCACTTGAATTTTCCAAATGGTGCAAGGCTCATCTGGGAGAATGGTTATTTGGTCGAAAAACGTGTTCTTTAATTGTTGTTTAAAACCATTTCTCCGATGTACAGGTACATGTTCATTCATCTCATTAGTTCAAAAAGATCTTAAGACATCCATAACTTTTTATTACCGGTAACTCGCTAACAGTGTAGTTAAAAAAGTAGAAAATTCATTCAAATGTCTCTAGTACTGCATTGAATTTATAACATTGTATCACTATTGGATATCGGATAAACACATGATTAATGGTGCAAACATAGGCAAAGGAATTATTAAATATTTAGTAATCTTTGGCTACTTTTTTAAACGATCAGAGATCCATTTTTTTCTTATTTAAAGTTTTTTAAAAGGTTATAAATACTTTGTCAAAAATAAATAAATTTCAACAAACAAGCATGTATAATAATTCTGTGAGGAAGATAAGCTCAATTAGTAGGATTTTTTCTGTTTATCATTAAATTAATATTTCATTGTTTCAAAGACAAGAATATAATAACTTAATTGTTTAATTAAAAATGTTAATCTATAAAAAGCAATTATTATTCTTATAAGATGTACCAGGAAACAGCAATGAGTATTTGAATAACAGTAAGGGAATAAGTCATTCACAAATGGTTTCACTTAATAATTCTCTAACTTGAGTTGCGGAAGAAGTCACTTAACCAAGTATGAGTACTGTCATGTATTTTTCAATGAGATAATAAATACTAAATAGGATTACATTACAATGACTTACTATCTGATTAGATTGAAATAGAAAAAATACATGTTTTCTTCAGTTGATATAAATCTAATAATAAATATGTTTCTGTTACCAATTTTAAGTGTAGTTCTTCTAAATCTGAAGTTTCCTTAAAAACAAATGAGTAAAAAAAAAGATGGACCACCTGTGTTCAGAAAGGACCACCTGAATTTTGGATCCAGTGGTCCGGCATACCACCTGATGAAAAAGTTAGTGTCGAGACCTGGGTAAAATAATTGTGTCTAGTGCCTGTGAGTGGGGAGGTCAGGAGGGGTCCCTGTGTGTCCAGTAACACTTTCCGCGTATTTGTTCCGTTCGCTTTTCGGTATAATTTCTAACAAAATTGACAATAATAGAATTAAACATACAGGGTATCTTAAGCTTATTTACGGGTCTTTACTTACACGAAAAGAGAGTTGGTTTGTTTCTCGTGTTGAAAGATGTCTTCCAATTTTTGAAGGGAGTTTGAACCAGAAAAATGGTATTTTTTCTGGACTATTTCCCGCGCCTCTGTTTTGGAAGCCTCCATCTTGTTTATCTGTGATGTCATAAGCATGTGACTTCGAAACTCCGCCTCCTCCAGGAAATTACCTTCTCCAAATCCCTCCAGAGGCGTGCACGTGGCGGAGAAGGCACACGGCAGGTCAAGGTCAAGTCATCTTAAGTACCAGAGGTGATTGGTTGACCTGTCGTGACTAATTCTGGAGGGTTGGCGCTAACGAGAGCCGTTTTTGTTATTGACCAGTATGGAACATGATGCCTGTCCTACTATTCGGCCAGTATTGTCGTACTCCTCTACCACCAACGAACGAAGAATAGGCTTCAGGAAGATTCAGCATGAAAAAGACGTCCCCGATGTGACTACCCTAGTGGACCGGCACGGATGCTATATTCTCGGACAGATGGTTTAACCGGCGCCGAGTATAAATAAACTCAAACTGACTGACTCCTCCAGGAAAGGGATGTCAGAAAGTGATTACCGTTTCCAAATTTCCAAAAATGAAGGCCTAAGGACGCTATTGAATATCTATCTATACAGTAGTACTGTAGGCATCATAGTACAAAATTTTTATGATTGTAGCAAGGGTCATGAATGATTTAATAATAATGGGACAACATTTAGTGACGAAAAAGGCATACAGTACTGTACAGGATATACTGTACAGTACTGCAGTTTGAATTGTCTGGAAAAAAGCAGTAAGCTTGCTCCTAGGCTAATATACTCAGTTTAAATGTATAATTTATTGTCCCTGATATCTATAAGATATTTAATAGATTTACTAGACCTTACAAAATATGGGACAAAAAATTACATAACAAAAATGCATGTCTGTGAAAAAAAGAGAAAGAATACAATATTTATTTATTTAGACTACATATATGCCCATGTTCATACTTGCAAACTAAATTGACAATTTTAATGTGTCTATACTGCAGCAGAGGCTCATTCACCGTTAATATATACAGGGGCCTTATGAATACAACTTCACGAATATGTGTAAATCACATATTTATTAATAAATCGTGGTGTAAATATATTGTTTATGATGTATGTACCAAAACAATAATGGTAATGCATATGAAATGGTTCACATATATATATATATATATATATATATATATATATATATATATATATATATATATATATATATATATATATATATATATATATATATATATATATATATATATATATATATTCATTTGTACATATTTGTAGGAAGGGGCCAGGGTTTGATAAGAACTAATCGGCCTGTCCTCTCCCTAACCCTAACTTTTAGAAGCCCGAAATGTTAGCCCTTGTAACCTCATGGTTCGGCACATTTCTCTTGCCAATACAGTAATGGTCAAAATATCATAAAATAATCTCCCTTTGAGCGAAATGGACCGTTCCGGTGTTTCAAAAACAGTTTAATGTAAATTTGCTAACTTGTCATCCAATCGCTACACTGAGATAATACATAGTCTCACTGGTTGACCTGGTTTGCACAAAAGAACACGTGCTTATGTTTGTGATACTGTTTGTGAGCAGTTGACATAGCAATGAATCGAAAAGATGTGGCTAAATGTTCCGCTACGAAAAACCGGAAAGGTTCATTACTTTCCTCGTTACGTGCACATTGTGGAGAGGCATATCATGTCGGTGAAAAGGGAAAACCGGGGCATGTACCTGCAGACCAGCTGCTGATGTCCTGGCTGAAGCCTAGGAGAGCCGCCCTATAATTAATGCAGACAGAGACGGCGGTGAAGGGTAATAGGGTGTGTGAACCCCTGGTACTAATTAGAGACGGCTTGAACGGCAATAACCATCCTTATCATGGCTATATCACCTTAAGATTATCGTTATTGTATCTGGTTACAGTACGTTAAGGTGCTCATCGCCCTCTTATAAGCCTTAAACATTACACGGAGGTATTTTTTTTATGCATCAAAATTAACACTTTTATTGCATGATATATAACATATCCTGGAGTCCGTACTCGATATGGCGAATTAACATACGCTACCTATGCGGTATTTGTGGCTGACCGAGTTTAATATGACGGGAAGCACATGAAGGATACAGGTTGCAACTATAGAGCTGCTGTACAGGAATGACGAATACCCCCATCTGATATCTATGACACAGATTATCATGTAGTGCAATTTATCATTATTTTGGAAGGAAAGTATTTGAATAAAGTTTTAGAAAAGTCATTTGAAAAGTATAGAATTATTGGTGCAAAACATGCCCTTCAAGGTTGACATTGACCTTAAGCCTGAACAGTGACATTGTAGAGATTAGCATTTAAGTGAAGTTTGAAGAAAATGTCTCAAGGGGTATAGAATTTCGAACAGACACGAAATTGCCTAATGTTTGACCTTCGATGTCACTGTGACCTCTGAGTCTGCACAGCGGCGTTATGGGTCTTGCACATCACCTTGTAAATTTTTGAGCCAAGTTTAAAGAAAATCCTTTAACTGGTATAGCATTTATAGATCGGACTCGAAATTGTCTGATATTTAACCTTTGACCTATAAGGATGACCTTTATCTTGAGCCGAAAACGGCTGTGACATAGGGTCTATGACATAGGATCTATACATTATCTTGTTAACATGAAAATTTGAGCCAAGTTTAAAGAAATATAGTAGTTTTAGAGAAGACAGACAATAACATGTCTCATATATGACCTTTGACCATCAAGAATGACTTTCACCTTGAACCTGAGTAGTGATGGCGTGAATTCACGGATGTTGAGGCAACATCTGAGTCAAGTTTAAAAAAATTCCTTCTCGGGCTATTTGATTTATATAGTGGACACGATCCGGAGACGGACAGACTAAGGGGCGGGCTGATTCGAAAAAGTGATTCCAGTAATGTGGCGAGGGTATAATTAGTATGCCAGATTTATCTGATATGTAAGTGTTATGTCCCTTTTGGATAAAGACAATCGGTGTTTTTAGGGGAGGATCATCATCGTTGTCCACTATCATCATTGTTGCGTGTTTGTTAAATATCGATAAGGGTCTAATTTCATACTATTTTTTTATGAATAACAGCCTATTAAGTACATGTAAATATAGTTTAAGTCAACATTTTAAGAATCTTTTTGATATACATTATTTTACAGAAAACATTGTTTTAATTATATAATTTCATTTTGTCTCCCACGTGTCATTATTTCTCATTTCAAAAGCAATCACACATGCTACACACATTGTTGTTGCTTCTATATGTGATGAGTTAGAAAGATAATGCATAACATGGCTTTTCAAGAGATGAAATCGCCCGCTTCTTTTATTATTATATAGAACTCATACAGAGTACGCATAGGAAAATATGTTACACTATATACAATGCCCAATAAAACAATAAGTTTGTACAATATGCGGCATGATAATTCATTAGATACTAAACGATGAATACAAACGGAAGCAGAAAATGAACAGGTATGTAATAAAAGCATTGCAATTCAGAAACTATGAATAAGTGGTTCATGGATTAATTAAATCTTTCGTTATATTGAATATACTAATGAAATTCTGTAACGCTTTTGTGACTTCGTTAAAACGAGTTTACACAGCTGTGCACATGATTATTTTGACGTGAGATCATTTGCGTTAAATACAAAACGTAAGGACTTGCTTAAACGTTAGCGTTACACTGTAGGTGCGTTAATGAAACAGCCACTGTTATAACTGAAAAATGGTTATTTATTTTAGCTATGTGATAAATAGAACATTTCATTTGCGTATTTTCGTTGCCACATTTATCGTGCTTGTTCAATTTAATAATAGTATGCTCTCTCCAGAGGCTCGCACAATATAATTTTTATTCAACTCATTCAATAAATTAAGTATTGGAATATTTCCTTTATATTCTGATACACATGCATATATGGATGTAGCAATACCAAGAATCCGAAAATGATCTTGGATTGATATTTTTGTGATGAAAATAATTAGAAAAAAGCGATAATAATCTTTATAAAGAAGTGAGAGTTATGCTTAAAATGACATCGATAAAGTTACTTGAGATGTTAACCAAACTGCATAAAAACAAGAATTAACTGTATTGTATCATAACCATCCACTTTGATAGATTTTTGTCATGTTTTGCTTTTGTTACATAAAAAATACAGTCTAAACCTACATTGATTATGTAATATATATTTAGTTGTACGCTAATAAGGAACAATTTAAGAAGGTAAAAGAGCAATGGACAGTAGTTGTTCCAAAAAAAAATTCTTACTAGCATTTATCAGATTTCTAATGTGTTTGTCCAAATGGATGAGAATGAAATGAATAAATGGTTAAGCAAGCGCTGAAGAAAAATAAAGTAGTTTATTAGTTATAAATTGTAAATTTCAAAGCTATTGGGAGATAGGTCAAAGATCTTGGATTTACACAAATTATGTGCTAGATAGAGAACAATTAATAAAAATGACTGCAGACCATGCTGCTGGAATACAATATATAATTATGTATAAATAAATAAATAAATCTTTTAATAACGGATATAGAGCATGCTTGATGTTCATCACCTGTAGAAAGTATGTTGAATGAGAAATAATGTGTCATAAAAGTTGCAAAGATTTGTATTTGAGTTTCATACAAAATTCTTAATCACGGAAAACATAAAAAGCAAACGAATGATACAGCTATATGGCCAATGGGTAATTTGTTTAGAAACTGTAACAGGGCACCAGAAATAAGGTTTTAAGAAAATATGTTTATCATTTTTGGGACTTAATGGACTATTAGTCTTTGTCCTGTTTTTTCGACAAATGAGAAGAACTAAATTTGAAATTTCTGACTGTCTATTTCGGATAAACTGTTTTCAATAGCGTTTATTCAACCGTCTAGTTAAACGTAGTGTCTATCTGAAAGAACAAAACATGTTTAAACAAAAAGTTGGTCAACAACTAAGTTAGTTTGACACTAATTAAACAATAAAATGTTTTCAACAGTAAAAGTAGCTCCTACATCGTTTTGCGTTTGCTGTTGTATAAATCTTGTTAAGTTTTATACTAACGTCTAACTGTTATATAGCCGACAGAACGGCATGCACATTCTTGGACATTGGACAGAACGACATAAGATCATCTTACAATTTATTGAGATGAGTTTAATTGGTTTATTTATTAATTATCATTGATTTATATGAAATCTGATATGTTTACTTTCAGCTTCAAGTATCGAGATTTATCTATCATACCCCTCATTCTGCTATGCACTTTGCTCTTGTTTTGGTGCACATATATCTATCTGAGGCCAACAGATTTCGTCAAAACCGCTGAAATTCACAACACCTCGAGTGATCCTAGGCAAAAAGTGACAAGGATATCTTTTTTGAAGATACCAAAGGCTGGATCTAGCACGGTAGCATGCATATTTCTTAGATTTGGATTTAAAAACAATCTGTCGATGTTCCTGCCAAAACAATCAGTAATCTATGATTTAGATCAAAAATTGCTGATGGAACAAAAGAAACAATATGATATTTTTGTAATACACACGAACTATAGCCACAAGTTTTTCACTTCTATTGTTAGAAATCCAGCAATTATTGGAGTTGTACGCAGGCCAGAAAAAAGAATTATAAGTCACGCGTTCTTCTTCAAACTGAAAACCAGGTCAAGACAATTACAAGTGTTAAGTGACCAAAATTTTATAAACGAAGTTGTAAAGGACACACCACGATATGGTGTTAACAAAGTAATTTCTCAATATTTTGGTATCACAAACTTAGATATATCTGAAAATTCTTTACAGCAATACCTTTTGAGACTGAACTCTGAATTTACATTAGTCATTATCCTTGAGAAACTCGACGAATCTCTTATCCTACTCAAGAGACTGTTTCGATGGTCGATATATGACGTAATTTACGCGGCCAAAAAGACAAGACATCGCGAAGGCATCCATTTAAACGCTAGCCAGATAAAGCATCTAGAATATACGAACAAGCTCGAATATGCGATTTATAATTTCTTTAATAAAGAACTTGAAAGAAAGATCAGGAATGCTGGAGACAACTTTTCACAAGAAGTTGCACAATTTAAAGATATACTTAGTCAAACAGATGCGTTTTGTCTCACACCAAATAATACTGTACCATTTTACACGTTTCCTGCATCAAGATGGGACGATAGTTTCTCAATAACAACAACAGACTGTTATGTTATCTATGAACAGGATGTCAATCAGTTCAAAATTAATTATCCATTTAGTGTTAAAATTGGAAATAAATAACTGAATAAAAGTTGATTGGAGTATATCATAGATATCTTATCAAACATTAAAATGATTTATTGTTGAAATTGCACCTTTCTCATAAATTTACACAAGCTTTATTCTGATTGTAAAAAATACACAGTGTTGCAATATCAAATGATTTTTTTCCTTTTTTCTGTTTTTATTAATTTTATTTTTTTCAGACTAAATATTGAAAACTGATTTTAACAAAAGAAGGGTTTTTTTTAATTATTGCATTATAACGTGGCCGAATACATTCTTACGATAATTTTTTGTTCTTAACAGAAAAGTGTAATCAGAAAAAATGTTTGCCTTAAATTGGTTTGGAATTTAACCTTTTGACTAGATGAGCTAGCTCTCTCTAGAAAAGCAAAATCTACACCACTGAGCCCCCCAATAAAAAAATCGATTGTCTGGCACAGTTGTCGGATGTTGCCTTTATAATTATGAAGGTAGGTGTGCTCTATCTTATCGTTTCTGACTTAAAACCAAAAAAAGTATATGAAAACATTTATGGGTCCGTATAGATTTTTTTATTATTATAGCACATAATTTATAATTATGTAAATCAGACTGGTGTTCATTATTAATATTGGTATAAAGAAGATAATTGTTTAGCTGACTTGCAATATGCCTTTAAACTATTTTTGAATGTTAGAGAGAATAGATATTGGCCTAAAATAATCTTACTTTGTCTCTCTCCCCCCCCCCCACACACACCCCCTTGTGTAAAGGTATAACACTTCGTCACCTTTGTGCAGTATCAGGTTAACTCCTATCAAATTATTTAATGAGTTATAAAACTAGTAAGTGCACCAATGTGAGGACTTGCTAGTTTCATTTTTCGGTTCATAAGCAATTGTTTTATATATAAAACACAGATTGTTGTTAGGCGAACGTAACGAGAACATACAAATTTATATCTACGTACATCTCTGAATCATATTCAGGACCGTGGTAAAAAGATTCTGTTTTTCTAATTTATATAAATCAATAATTGTATTAATCAATCAATACTAATTAGTTGATTACAAAATAAAAAAAAATGGAGAGGTAAGTGAGTCAGACTACATGTATGCATATTATGAAGACATTTCTACCCCAAAATAGGGGGTCAAGTGTGTTAGGGGAGGAAATGTCAGTGGAGGAACTTGTAAGGACTACCCATTGGCCCAGGATGTATACGTTCGTAGGGCAGAGCGGATCGTGAGAGAGGGCCATCCATACCAGGACGGGCGGACCGTATTTTGGGGGGGGGGGGGCCGTGACTTGAGGGGCGATACTAAACTGCTGACGAATTAGCTGACGATATAGAATATATAGGAAACTGCTGACCAGTTAAACAAAGAAGGATTATCGAAAACTGCTGACCAGTTAGATAAAGAAGGGAAAACAATGAAGGTGTCAAATTGCCGTTGGTGATATTACAGGCGAGGTCGAGAAATACTTGATAAAATGTTTTTCAAGATGTCAATATTACAAATGATACATATTAATTATAAAAATTTCAATTGATATATACTGTATATTTCTCAATTTCTTTTGATATAATATTTTATTTAAGTACCTTAATGAATTTTCTTCTATGTGTTATATATTGGTTAAAATTTTAAAAATGTAGTCAAAATATGATGTACGAAAAATCATAATTTGTTTCAAGTATGTATAAAGCTATGTATCATAGGTTAAAATATATACATGTACATATACGTAATGTATATTTTAACAAAATATAATTATTATGTCGTATTTAGTGCAAATATGAAATAAAGTGATTTCTGTTTGCTTATTTGTTGTTCGTATGATTGTATAAGTAATATTGAACAAAAATTAATAATGTGCTAATTGTTATAGTTAATAAGCTTTTATTACATTTTAAACAACATGTTTCTACAGATATCCATTAAACTGATAATTTATCGAGATCGATATGCCCCAAGGTCATATTAAAATCGATTTCACACGCGACGTGTCATTCTTGATTTATCTATGACAAAATACAATGAACAGTCAAAAATATGTTATTAAAATGCTGACCATATTGTAGAATCTGCTGACCAGTTAGATATATAGAGAAAAATATATTTTGCTACGAAATTGTTACTCATTATGCAAATTTAATATATTTTATAAAATAATGTCGACATTTAATTAAGTAAAAACACTGCTGACCAATTTAATGTTAATTCAAATTGATTTAAGCCGTAAAACTCTCTTATTCTATATGGTCAGCAAATTTAACGCTCTTTACATTCAGGCGAGAAAATGCTGACCAGTTAAACATATAGTAGAATCTGCTGACCAGTTAGATATATAGGGAAACTGCTGACCAGTTAGATATATAGAGAAAAATATATTTAAATGCTACGAAATTGTTACTCATTATGCAAATTTAATATATTTTATAAAATAATGTCGACATTTAATTAAGTAAAAACACTGCTGACCAATTTAATGTTAATTCAAATTGATTTAAGCCGTAAAACTCTCTTATTCTATATGGTCAGCAAATTTAACGCTCTTTACATTCAGGCGAGAAAATGCTGACCAGTTAAACATATAGTAGAATCTGCTGACCAGTTAGATATATAGGGAAACTGCTGACCAGTTAGATATATAGAGAAAAATATAAATTGCCGTGAAATTGTTACTCATTTTATAATGTATGCAAATTTTATATATTATATAAAATCATGTCGACATTTAATTAAGTAAAAACACTGCTGACCAATTTAATGTTAATTCAAATTGATTTAAGCCGTAAAACTCACTTATTCTATATGGTCAGCAAATTTAACGCTCTTTACATTCAGGCGAGAAAATGCTGACCAGTTAAACATATAGTAGAATCTGCTGACCAGTTAGATAGAAAGTTTAGAAAGTTTATTTTATTTCAGTCTCTTTCATATGCATACATATATACATAAAACATATTAAACATTGATAAAAAAAAATACATATGACCATTCTACAATAGAATTATAAGAGACTATATCATATATATACTTATCATTATCCATTTACAATTGATATTTAGTTCCTATTGTTAACAGTAAAGATACATTATAAGACCATTTTACATCATAAAAGTTAGATTATCCCCACTGACCTTCAATAAAAAATAAATGAAGAAATGCTGTAAGATATTTTGATAATAAATCTCTAAGTGTTCTAAAAAGATATATATAGGATATAGGGAAACTGCTGACCAGTTAGATATATAGAGAAAAATATATTTTGCCGTGAAATTGTTACTCATTTTATAATGCATGCAAATTTTATATATTATATAAAATCATGTCGACATTTAATTAAGTAAAAACACTGCTGACCAATTTAATGTTAATTCAAATTGATTTAAGCCGTAAAACTCTTCTTATTCTATATGGTCAGCAAATTTAACGCTCTTTACATTCAGGCGAGAAAATGCTGACCAGTTAAACATATAGTAGAATCTGCTGACCAGTTAGATATATAGGGAAACTGCTGACCAGTTAGATATATAGAGAAAAATATATTTTGCCGTGAAATTGTAACTCATTTTTATAATGTATGCAAATTTTATATATTATATAAATTCATGTCGACATTTTATTAAGTAAAAACACTGCTGACCAATTTAATGTTAATTCAAATTGATTTAAGCCGTAAAACTCTTCTTATTCTATATGGTCAGCAAATTTAACGCTCTTTACATTCAGGCGAGAAAATGCTGACCAGTTAAACATATAGTAGAATCTGCTGACCAGTTAGATATATAGGGAAACTGCTGACCAGTTAGATATATAGAGAAAAATATATTTTGCCGTGAAATTGTTACTCATTTTATAATGTATGCAAATTTTATATATTATATAAAATTATGTCGACAATTTATTAAGTAAAAACACTGCTGACCAATTTAATGTTAATTCAAATTGATTTAAGCCGTAAAACTCTTCTTATTCTATATGGTCAGCAAATTTAACGCTCTTTACATTCAGGCGAGAAAATGCTGACCAGTTAAACATATAGTAGAATCTGCTGACCAGTTAGATATATAGGGAAACTGCTGACCAGTTAGAAATATAGAAAAAAAAATATTTTGCCCTGAAATTGTTACTCATTTTATAATGTATGCAAATTTTATATATTATATTATGACTTGAGGTCGGGTTGATTTCGGGCCGGGTTGACTTGTACCGCATCCTAAACATGTCGTATATATTTATGATTTTCATATTAAACAGATTTATATTTAAAACAAGGTATATATATTAATATGCGCACCTGTTAAAACTTTAAACATCGATATAGTTAAGGGGGACCGAAGGGACCAAGAACTTGTGATTGGGTAATACTTTTAACGCACCCTGTAGAGATAAAATGATAGAGGGAATATTTACATTAACACCGGAAAATGGAGACTGCAACCGGAAGTTGCATGTGTTTAAGGATAACAAATTGAAATAATTCATTTTTAAATAGCTTTTCTCAACGTTCTTACGAGGATGCAAGTGTCTAACCCCAACAATGTCAAGATCTACAATTTAAGTGCTGGTAAATCACTGCCAGAGGTAAGAATAAATGGAAAATGTATCGAAACTTACAGAGTAAATAATTTTATCCTGAGAAAAGAGGATTGAAAACTGTTGAATATCTATCTGTCTATCTTGCATTAATTTCAAACCGCTCCCGGGGATGTAGAATTGGCTCAGACACTGTTTGGCGTGCATGAGATGGTCTAATACACCAGTTTACCAATAAAACAGAATTCCATTACATTTTAAAAAAAACTTTTTTTACTTACAGACTTATACTCGGTTCCTATGAAATCACGGATTCTATACCACAGTATTTACATTTTCTTCGACTGCTAGTAAAACCAATGCATATTTGTTTGTTTTTGGGTTTTTACGTCACATCGACACAGTATAGGTCATATCGACTCAATCGAGACGTTCCAGCTTTACTGGTGGAGGAAGACCTCAGGTGCCCTTCCGTGCATTATTTCAGGC